CTTGCAGCGAAGCCATGCAAATGCTAACCAAGGAAAAATAATAAAAAACACATGGTCCCTAATGTTAGACAAAAGTATAAAAAAGCAATAATTCTACTATAATAGATATAAGAATGAAAATTTAGAAAGTGTGATTTCTTACGAGGATTGGCGGTGACGGTCTCCTTGGAAAAACTACAATAGCCAGATAGCTCATTTGGGAGAGTAAAGATGTTTGAGGCCGCCACAGCTGCACGGAGTCTAATCCAACGTTCTGCCATTTTTTCCTTAGCAAAATGGAAGAGGTGGCTTGTTTTACCAGCGGATGATAGCTCATAGCCATTACAGATTGCCCCAATAATCTTAGCGGCACGAAGTTGAGAGTCCTTGGATACACCAATTGTGTTGAGCTCTATGAACTTGATCATTTTCTGAGCCACCTCAGTATCCTTCACCAATGCCCACCTACAACCATCCATGCAACAAACCATACATTTGGTAAATATAGAAAATTATGTCATATATACCATTATTGATGTAGAAAATTTTGAACATAAAATTGACAATTGATCAAGAAATGGTTACCCCAGTCTAGGGCCGGCATGGCCGGTGGAGACAGTGAATAACATGATATCATGGCCAGCTGCCTCGGTGATGGGTGTGTGCTGTGGCCAGTAGTAAGCGAAGTCATAAATAGCCTTGCGGGACATTATAAGAAAGATTGTCCCGATTACTTAAAGATGATCATGGCAAAGAAAGGTGAGAACATTATTACGTTCATAAATGAATCCTTGTATCTTTCTCTGATATTGAAATCTACTTGGTGGATTGATTAAGATTAACACATGCATTCAATGTTGCTAATTGAAAAATGGATTCCGTTTGTTGAGGACTACATTTGTTACATCTCTGAAGAGAAAGACACGTTAAAATTTCCTAAATGGAGTCATTTGGCATTGAAGATTCCGTTGGTGATCTTTTCTTTACATACTTTCCTTTTATGCATTCTCTACATTGTTCTAGATTTGAGAACTCTAATGGAGGAAGAATATCATTCTTAATATGTCTTTCTCCTCTCCCTAAATATGGCCTAAACGACTTGATTAGTAATTTCATGACAAAATCAATGATGATATGATTGTCATTTTGGAAATTTACATCCACATTTAATAATGCATGTGTCCGAGGATACATTCTCATTCGTGACCTCTAGTCCCATAGTGATTGTGCATTGTCGCATGCAATGTTCCCATCATCGCATACAACATTCACATCATCACGTAGTGACAACAAATAAAGCTCATTTTGTAAGATAGTAAGACCAACACATGCATTACTAAATGTTATCTTACATTTGCGGATGACCCACTTCCTAAAATGGCAATCATATCCATCATTGTCCAAGCATGAAACACTAATCAAGTTTCTCTCAGAAGAGGGAAACATAAAGTACATCTCTAAGTAAAAGTGTGAAGCCATCACATCAAGTTGAAGCTCTAGAGAAAGATAACCAACGACTTCAACATCTGGTCAAAAGACTCTATTTGCAACTTTAACGTTCTTTCTCTTCTTTGTGTAGTTCTGGAAAAAAAGATCTAGAACAATGTCAAAATATCTTTTCTCCAATTAAACGGAAAGTATAGCAGCTGCCAAAAAGGAATTAACAACATGAATAGTTGCGTGGTTCAAATTTTAACAGAGAATCAATCCACCAAGTAGATTTCTAATAGCGCATCGTATACAGGATTCATTTATGAACGTTAATGTTCTCACATTTCTTTGCCATGATCATCTTTAAGTAATCGGGACAATCTTTCTTATAATGTCCCATCTTCTTGCAATAGAGACACTGGTCTTTCTCTACTGTGAACTTGTTCTGCTGAGGCTGATGCAGATGTGACCCTTTCCCTTTGACTTTGAGGAGGAGTTAGCATTATTATTCTTTTTCTTGTTGTCTTTCACATAATTGATAGTGCCACCATTGGCACCTTTCATTCTTTTCTCTTGCACACACATAGCCATGAGCCTCTCTAAGTCCCACTTCTCGGGTTGTATGTTGTAGTTGACAATAAAGGTGTTAAATTTCTTTGGCAAGGAAGCAAAAATCAGATGTATAAGGAACTCTTCCTTGAGAGCCAGATCCATTGGTTTTAGCTTGGATGCCAAATTGCTCATCCTTAGTATGTGCTCTCTTATGCCACCATTTCCAGAGTACCTCTCTGTCACCAGCTGCTTTATCAGCTGGGTAGCATATGCCTTTGAATAGCTAGTGAACTGACTCTTTATTCTATCGAGGCACTCGGTGACCGTGTCACACTCTGGGATTGAGCCCATAATTATAGGCTCAATCGTGTTCTTTATCACAGCCAAACATTTCTTATTGGCAGTGACCCACTTCCTATACTCAAGGTCATAGGACATCTTTTGGGATTCAAAATCTCTCTCTCTAGTTGCCCAAGCGGCATCAGCCTCGTTTGTCTCCCTCCGGTGCCACAAATGACAAGATGCTGATGGGGACACGGTGAGGTGACTACTCAATCCACCTTTTGTCAAATGACAAGATGACCAAGATGAAGGCCAGCTCAATGTTTTAAAATTTTTTCTTTCACTCCGTAAAATGTAGTTGTCACCGTGAGAGTGGGAATCTCTTTGATACAACACATCAAGTTGTATCAAATGAAAAAACACAATTCATAGAGTGAGAACATAAATAATAACAACAATTGCATGCCTTGATTCCAACGTTGATCAAAATTAAAACATACAACTGATTTATACATTAAATCTACATCACCGATTGGATGTAAATAAAAATAATGCATAAAATCATTAAAATTACGATATTGTTATTAACAATGTTGGTCAGAAAATAACAACATCATAATCATGTCAAAATATCTTTTCTCCAATTAAATATCACGTTGGTTCATAATAACTGGAAAATAAATTAATGAGTTATTTCTTTAGCGGCATTTTGGGTCTCAAAAAACATGAAAAAAATTCAATTATCTATTTTTTGAAGCATTAAACTTTTCTCAACTATTCTCTGAAAAAATTATCCCGTTGGTTCAAATTTAAATTTTGAGATATTAAACTAGACAAAATTCATCGAAATATGCTTCTAAAAAAAATTAAATAAAACAAGAAATTACTCTTCTATTCATTTTGGCCTAGCCTGCATCATCATTCTCTATCAATATTTTGTTGGTTTTGTCAATATATAATGAAATGGCAAAAATGCAACTTGGACAAGATTTTGGTACTGCAAATGATAGCGCTTAGCGCAAAGTTGAATAACTCATCAAGATAACCTAGGCATTCAATTGACGCGTTGATGCGCAGCTCTCATGACGCATAAGATTAGCGCCAATGTGTGCAAGAATTTTTCAAATGAAGGCCTAAAAGGGCCAGAAAGTTCTCACCCGCCTAGGCCGATTCAAATTTTGTCGCCCAATTAATCTAGAGGCATCCACTTCGATCCGACGGCCGAGCAAATTTGAAAGGATGTCGCTGGATCAAAAACCCCTGGCGGCATTTGAGATCATTTGGGCTGCCCTACGAACCCTAATTCATTTCGAGTCTTCCTTTCTCTCTCTTCGCCGCCTTCTTCCTCGATAATAGAAAAAAGTTAATAAAACCATTATTAAGCAAGGGTGAAGCAAACCGATTCGGCTTTAAAACCGTTGGATCGACTTCGAACCTGTCCAGAGAACAAACGGTGTCGTTTGGCCCCTCTTCGCACGCACGCAGCGCCCCCCCACGGTGGTGAGCTCGGAGAGGCCAGTGCCGCCGAGCGGACTAGCGGCGGTGCCCTTTGGCGGAGCAATTTCTTCCGTCCGCGGCTGAGGTGGTCGACGTCTTCCTCCGCCGTCGGCGCTTAGCGAGGCAGCATAGAGACCGGCGTTGAGCACTTGAGTGGTGCACGCGGCGTGAGGTAGGCCCCTTCCCTCTTCCCCTTTCTGCTTTTCTTCATCTCCTTGTGGATTTTCTTCTCTGTTCTTCTTGGATTTCATCCGATTAGGGTTAGGGTTAAGTCAAGTTAGGGTTAGGGTTTGACTCACTCTCTCTCGGAGTCACTGATGTTCATCTTCCCCAATGAGTTCTTTGTGGGTTTGAGCTCGGATTCGGGTTCTTCTTGAAGCCGAGTCCTCTTCTTACTCCTTTCCTTCACATTGCTTAGGGTTAGGGTTCATCCTACATGGGATTGAAATTGAGTGAATTGTAGTATATACAGAGCATTTGACCTCTCTTCTCTACTCGAGATCCTCAACAGATCTAATCTCGTCTTTTTCGCTCACCCGATCTAGATCTAAAAGCCCTAAAAAAGACTAGCAAGCTCCTTTGGTACCATTGTTGAGATCGTAAAGATCATCTAGGGTTAGGTCTAGCTTTGGTTCTCTTTATTGTGAATGCGATATCGAGAGTAGAGGGACTAAGAGAGGAATAGAAGAAAAAGCGTGTCGAACCTCGACACCGCAGAGGGAGATGGTCGAAGCCGCCATCTTATTTCGGTGAAGTCTTGGTCTTTTATCCATATAGCTAAATGCAATGCAATATTTCATCTACAATTTTAAGTTTATAGGACGTTCGGGGAAGAGGTCAATGAAGTCATTTCAACGTCGATGGAGCGGGGGCGCGTTGTAGTACAAATATGGTGGCTTCCACTTCACGTTGTTCTTTATAATGGTTGCGCCTCTCCGATCGGGATTAGGGTTTAGGTTTTGGTGGGGAGCTCTGCTCATCAAAAAGGTGAACCTCGTACTGAGCCGCCTTGACCTCCACCTCTATATATAGCGCAGTGTGACAGGGGCCCTCCAGCCATAGTGGGCTGAGCGCCCCCGATCAGGGCACGGATCAAAGGCCCAACTGGGCCGTTGGGCCCAGTTTAGGATTAGAGATCAATCTAACAATAAACAGCCTTGCTAGACTTGGATTTGATGACAGCTTTTCGGATGCCACCATCAGGGTTGTTTGGCGAGCAGATGAGCTCAATACAGGTGTCACCATCGAATGTATTGACATCACCACCCCAACGGTAAAGCCCAGAGTTCAGAAAGTTCGTCACAGATGGGTAAGACTGCACATGTTCAAAATCAGACAGATTATATCAATCAATCGATAATAAACAAGAACATAACAATGTCTTGTAGAAATCGAAATAGGTGCTTTTTTTAGATAATGCAATTTACGTAAATAAACCAACAAACAACAATTTCAACATGGATGTCTGAATTCTTAATCTTTTCTTACCGAGTAGTAAGGTGCCGGTGAGACGACCGTTCATGGGCGTGCCGTCGCTTGCAGGTGAGAGCGCGTACAGCACGGCCTGGAAGAGCTGTGTGGACCCTGTCTCGACGAGCACATGGTACCCATCAACCATGGCATTCCCCACGAGCCGGTGGAGACGCCGCACCTCGCGCTCGAAGCCAGGCTCCACGAACCAACAAATGCCGCCGAGGTCGGAGAAGTAGCTCATTGTTTGCCAACCAGGGATGAAGATGGAGGCGCCATCTCCTGTCCCGCGCCAGAACTCCTCATACATAGTCGGGTCGCCACTGCAACAACGAAGAGAAAGAAGTTAAAAACATGTGTGTACAGTGCATGCATGGACGATGCATGCAAATGGATTCGCAAGTAAACCATGCATGGATTTTACATGGCCTAGGAGGAAATCAAATTAAGGTATAGCGAAGTTCTTAGCATATAGAGAACAGACAACAAAGTAAGATAGGGATTAAGGAAGTCCATACATATGCTAAATATGAATAAATTAAGGTTGCTGATTGCAATCTGTACTGTTTTTGCGAAACAGTATGTATTTTTTTCAATCCATCTCTACTTTCACTCTGTTTACTATTTCCTAAATTCAACCAAACAATTATATAGATAGAACAAAAGCAGATGAACATACAAAACAATCAAATACTACTATCAGCAATTAATCAGGCAAAATAAAGAAATACTACTAATCAACAATTAATCAGGCAAAATAAACAAATACTACTGATCAACAATTAATAATCAGGCAAAATAAACAAACACTACTGATCAACAATTATTAATCAGGCAAAATAAACAAATACTACTCATCAACAATTAATCAGGCAACCAGGTACACATGTCCTTGCCAGATGGAGAGGGCCGGAGGAGCCCTTCACGGACGATGCATGTGTGTTCCAGACTCCAGCTGCCTCACTCACAGTGAAACAGCATGGCTGGGGGGCTGGGGCTGGCTCCCCAAATTGGAGCGCAGCGATTTGCGCACCGCAGGGCACAATAGATCATGGGCTGGCTAAATATGTCCCAAACAATCAGCCCATGATAACTACAGTTTGCTAAGCCCCTATATGGCTATCGTCTTCCTCATGCGAATCGTTTTTTCAGCAACAGCAACGCAACGCCCTAATAAAAACAAACAACAACAGCATTGCTGTTCCTCCGTGCGAACTGCGGCTTCCGACGGCGACGGACGCCCGGGCACTAGCGATCGATGGATGGGCAATACGTGGGAGAGACCAAAACGAACACGAATAAACAAAAACAGAAGCAGGTAACGAGATCTTGTAATGGATCGGATCACTCACTGGTCGAGGTTAACAATTGAGTCCTCAGTGACCGGCGGTTTTCCTTTCGACGGCTCCACCGTCGTGACGCCGCCGTTTTTGTCGGATCCGCTGCCGCCGCCGAAGTAGCGGCGGCGGATGTACATGGCGATCCAAGCTAGGTTCATGACCACGGAGGCCACGACCCCGATCCTTCCGGCGCACCGCACCGCCGCCATCCCGCCGGTCTCCCTACTCGCCATCGATATCTCCTCCTCCTCTCTGAGCGCACTGCAGCGACGGAAACAAAAGGCAAGGAACGCGAGGCGAGTGAGAGCGCTGTGTCTGTGTGTCTCCCTCCGCAGGGGGACCTGCCGGTTTTATAGCGGACGTGGGCGAGCCCCGCACGACGTCTAGCCACGCCGGCCGGTGGCGCCTTGCGCCCGTCACGTCAGCTCACCTTTCGGCGTGGCGTGGCGCGCGCGATCGACCAGCAACGGCAGTGAGATGGAAAGCCGGGATCCCCGCGTAACGGATGGCGAGCGAGGACGTGGAGAGGCGTGTCGCGGAGCCCTCTGGGTTGTTAGAGGTCGCCGGCGTGGAGCGGCGCGGAAGGACGTGGCCTCGATCGCGGGCACTGGGGAAGAAGGATGCGGAGGGCGGCGCGCGTGAGGGTTTATGGATGCATGTATGTGTGAGTGCGGTGTGATTGAGATGAGGGTTTGTTTGGCGGCCCTAAAAGGAAGGGAACGCATCTATGTAACTGATCGCCCGCGTCGCCGGCCGCGCTACCTGGGCGCGGTGGTTGTTACGTGGATTGGATCGGTGCTGGCCTGGCCGGCTGGCCGGGACGACGCAGCCAGCCTGGGTGGGGAGAAGGCGGGCGTCTCGTGCATGGCGATGGCGTGGACGGGACCGTGGAGGCTGCCGCGCGACGGCCACCGTGAATCAAGGGCAGCCTAGCTCATCGGGGATGCGAATCTCGTGTTTAACTGTTCAGCACCATACATGGGTGCGATTAACTGCAAATATTCAAGCTGTAACACACTTAAAAGTGTTACAAATTTAATTTTGCTGACAGCTACTAGTAACCAGAAAATAATGATGTTGTAGCAGCATCGCGCTGTCATCCCAAAGCTACTCCCTTTGTCCATTTTTAACTGTCGTTTTCGCTTCTTGATAAACAACTTTAACTAAATATATATATAAAATATTAATATTTATGGTACATAATTAATGTCATTAGATAGATTGTTGAATCTATTTTCATAATAAATTTATTTGGAGATACAAATGTTGTTAATATTTTCTATAAATCTAGTCAAACTTATCGACACGTAAACCGTGACGACACATATTTAGGGACAGAGGGAGTATAGTGGTTGGTGTAGAGATGATAACGGGTTTATACACGAGGGTATCATGCTCATACACATATTTCAATAGAATTTTTTTACACACGAAAAAACTCGTACCATGTGTTGGTACAATTTTGTGCTTATACCATGCCTATGCAGATAGAGCATCCCCATGGTTTTTTTTTTACAACAAGGATACCCGTGGGTTGTCTACACCCGAGAAAAAAACCTAGTTAACACATGCATTAAACTATGATGACGCTGGGTTTTAGGTCCTCTGTACCCATTGCCATCCCTAGCAAGATTGTGGGTGTGCAACGACAAATGAACCTCGCATGTTTTCAAGTTGAGAGTTAGAGTTGCATGATTTCATATGCACACGTGTCATGAATCCAAGATAGGTGCCCATGGCTACCCTTTGAGGACTGAATTTTTATCATTTTTTTTTTTTTTGCTTCTTCTCTCTTTCAAGCCGGCAAAGAACACTTACATCACCAAGCTTTGACACTACCGTTGGAGGCGCCTTAATGCAGTAACTACCTGTCCTAGGGTTTCTTTCTTTTAGTTTTATATAAAACAAAAAAATGCTTTTGTTTGCCGTTATCGAAGCATAGCTCGTTTTGTAACGTTTATATAGTATCAATCGGTACGGAATGATATAGACATGACCTCGTAACTTTTGAATTGAGGAAACTAGAAAAGCGGCATATCCTTTTGTCGCATTCTAAATATGGTTAGAACATCTTTTTAGAACGACAAATAATGTCATATATTTGTATATTGTTTGCTTATTACTCTATCTCGACTATTACTAAAGCTAGAAGTGTGATATTACTTTCTTCTTCTTCCATTGCCTCTATCTTCGTGTCCCATCTGTCTTCCATTTCTTGTTCCATGAAAAATAAAACGCTTGGATGTTTTGGAGTCAAAACCCTCAGTCCCTCAAAAGCACTAAAATCTCCTTCGACAGATAGCCAATACCATGCATGCTTGCATGGGTGGCAATGGTTCCATGGCGAGGGCATTAGCTTCAGTAAGCAATCCCTTAGTGGCTAATCCCCATAGACAAAGATTAATTTCTACCATGGTATCCGTTGCCAAAATGCAACCACTAGTCCATGTTCAAGCTCCACAAAGGATATGATCCCAATCACCAAGCTTTAATAATAGTTCGGCAAGCAAAAAAAAAGCCTTATCACGCTCATACATACCTATATTTATTATTTTATTAGAATTTTTTTAACCATGAAAAAACCCATACCATGCACGTGTTGGTATAATTTTGTGTCTATACATGTGTCCATGCGGGTAGAGGATACCCATGGGTTACCTATACCAGAAGCACAGAGACCAGAAGCTGGTCTTTCCGATAGAATTATTTAAGGAGTATAGTCACTTTAATCAGGATCTGTGCATTTTTTGCTTTGAGAAGAAGAACTCTCAAATCATTAAGCCCCATCTTTGACGTTTTTGCATATGTACTTCTTTTGAAAACCTTTCCTTGCTGAACAAATAATGAGATCCGTATGATTCTTGCATTTTTGTCATGTATTCTTTCGCGCAACAGTATTTATGTAACCAGTCAGTGTGTCTAGCTAGCATTATCCCTAGATTGATCACTGCCGCTACTATTTGCTTGTGCAAAGTTATTTGGGAAGGCAACCCCATTTTTTTCTACTTTGTTGCAGTTTGACGCCTGAATTCTCTTCGGTATAAACTGTTTGAACAGAGTAGTGCCAACCAAAGCATGGTGAAGTAGATGTATCTTTGTCGTTTTCATCAGTTCATCGTTAAAGTAAGTGTCATGTTTTTTGGCTCATCTTTTTATTATATTGCAAGCAGTTAGGCTGTCAAGGGAACTGTGTTGGGACTGGCTTATAACAAACAATAATCTGGCCAAGGGTACAAAGAACAACGGACACTATGTTTCAGAAATATTCCTTTTAGTTAGCTAAGAATTTTACCATGTCTGTTGCTGCCATGAAGTGTTACTTGCTGTTTTACCTTTCCAAACAATTAAATTATGTTACTTTGGATGAGATATATATGTGATGGATGAGATATATATGTGATGGATGAGATATATATGTGATATATGTTTGTATGAATTTATTTGTCACAATAGAATGTAAAAAAAAATCAAAAATTTTCAGCTTTGCCGAGTGCCATGACCATGGCACTCGGCAAAGATTTTTTTTAAAAAAAAAATCAAACTTTGCCGAGTGCCAGACAGAGGGCACTCGGCAAAGAATTTTTTTTAAAAAATTTCAAAATTTGCCGAGTGCTAGCCAGAGGGCACTCGGCAAAGAATTTTTTTTAAAAAAAATTCAAACTTTGCCGAGTGCAGATAGAGGGCACTCGGAAAAGAATTTTTTTAAAAAAAAATTAAAAAAAATCAAACTTTGCGAGTGTTAGAGGGCACTCGGCAAAGAAATTTAAAAAAATCAAACTTTGCGAGTGTTGCCAGAGAGGCACTTTCGGCAAAGGAAGCCCAAAAAAATTCAAACTTTGCCGAGCGCCGGCCAGGGGCACTCGGCAAAGAATTTTTTTTTAAAAAAATAAAAAAAATCTTTGCCGAGTGCTTGCAGGGTTGGCACTCGGCAAAGAGACCGTCAACGGGGCCGGCGCCGTGACGGTCACTTTTATTTGCCGAGTGCCCGATAAAAAACACTCGACAAAGAGAGATTTGCCGATCAATTTTTTGCCGTGTGTTCTTTGCCGAGTGCAATTTGGCCTTTGCCGAGTGACTCAGCCACTCGACAAAGAACCTGAATCCAGTAGTGTATAATCGAAGATCCTAATGCAGCGTTCATTCACTGGTGCATTAAATCAAGTTTTGAGATCTCTCGCTCTTTCTATTGGATTGATTTGTTTGTCCGTAATCCTAGTTAATCTCCTGAGTATATGGATATACTGTTTCAAGTACAAAAGTATGCAAACATACTCATTTTTCTAATTTAAGTATGTACTTCATGATAATGTGTATGTACTAATACTCTGTCAAAACTAGTATATGGATATACTCTTCAAGTACAAAAGTATGCGAATATAGTTATTTTTCTAATTAAAGTATGCACCCATACTTTATTCATGCAAATACGTATGTACTTCATGTTAATGTGTGTATGCACTGATACTGTCAAAAAGTTGTACACAAGCATAACAATTTTTCTCCTGAAAAAATACCGATGGAAGTCCATATACCCTATAGATAAACACTAAAACAATCGTATATGGATATACTCCCAACTGGATATTGTCATATATGCACGTATATATACTTGGTCCATTGGTATAAGGGTTTATACTCATTAATTAAAAAGTATGAACGCATACTCCCTAGCATGTATCCACATATACTATACTTTGTTTTAGGGTATATGCACATACTCTAATTTTAAAAGTATGAACGCATACTATCGTATGTATATATACTTGCCAAGAATGGTTTACACTATCTTTATACACAATAAACAACTTTTTTTTGTGGCATGTAGCCATCACCCGAGATTTAGGAGATTAGCTCCCGTACGTGCATGCATGCAGTTTTAAAAAGGTGTGACTGTTGGATGTAGGAGGCTGTAGCACCTGACTAATGGATCCGGTGGCTGCATTGAAACCCAATTAGAAGAGGGAGTAATTACTCCTGGGAGTACAAAAACGCAAAATGGTACGTAATGCCTTGTTGGACCATGTTTTAGAGTACAATAGGTTGGGGATGGCTTTGAGAATTATAGTTGTATGTTGAGTATATACATACTAATGGGTTTATGTGTTCGGGTACAAAACCATATTTGTACCGATGAACCCAATGGTTAAGTTTTTTTTTTTTTGCCCATTAACATATCTATAGGTACGTAAATTAGCCCCCACACCTATGCTCTAATCGGTTAAAAACCATCCCT